GCGTTGAGGTAGCTCAACGCTGCTAGTGGGACTTGGCCCCAGGCCAGGCTAGGCTACCTAGCCCTGCATAACTGCTAAGCAGCCCAGACTATTCATCTCACCCCCGCCTCACCACACACTTCAGCACAAATCTGCCCTCGTCTCCGAGTCGCAACAGATTCATTTGCCTCAACGTTGAGTCCGCCTCCAATTTACGCCCAAAGCTCTCTCTCTCTCTCTCTCTCTCTCTCTCTCTCTCTCTCTCTCTCTCACACACACACACACACACACACACACACACACAACACACACACACACACACACACACACACACGATTCTTGATTACATCGTTATCAATTACTACTACGTCTTTCCACTTCATGTCGACAGGTGTAGTTAGGCAACAATTCATCGCATGATTGCTTGTTTGATTGATTAACACTCTTTGTGTAACAGTCAGATTAACGCTCGGCGCTTGATTACCTCTCCTGTACAGTGGCCAGATCGATTAGCTATGTGTTCTCAATTCATCAAGCAACTCAAATTTACCTACACATACAGCGAGAAAAAAGGGAAACAAAGAAAATGAGAGAAAGAGAGAGAAACAAAGAAAACGAGAGAAAGAGAGAGAAACAAAGCAAATGAGAGAAAGAGAGAGAAACAAAGAAAATGAGAGAAAGAGAGAGAAACAAAGAAAATGAGAGAAAGAGAGGGAGCGAGAGGGAGAGAGCCGAAGAGAGAGAGAGAGAGAGAGAGAGAGAGAGAGAGAGAGAACGATGAGGATGGAGCAGCAAACGGGTTTGACGGATCATCAATGCAGTGTTGTCCAAGCCGGTATCCCGACCGGTTGGCCCCTCGATGAAAACTGGGAGACCCAAGTTCGAACCGAGGTTTTCGCGCAATGCGGAGCGCCGTGATCGCTGGCAGCAGATGAATCCGCCTGCCCTGGGAAGATGGACAATACTATACCACTACTTGATGACGTTGATTAATCCATTACGGAAGATGGAAATATCAAGCAATCAATATCAAAGACAGATATCCAGATCTGCGAGCCATCAGAAGATCAGGATACCTACACGATTAATCCGCTGAGCGGTCAGATTGGCTGGCTGACCTGACGGGTCAATCTAATCTGTGCCAGTTGGGGTCATCATCCTAACCGGCGGATTAATCCAGGAGTTAGGGTTTCCTCCGGCCGATTAGTTCTCCCCAATTTACACTTTTCTTCCTTCTGCCTCTGACTGATACTAAATCAGCCCCGGCAGTTAGGTTTCCTCATGTGGCAGCGGGCGACGCATCCATCCGTTAGGATCGGCTAACCTCCTCAAGGATCAATCAGCCTCCGCATTGCGACGGAAAGAACAAAAAAGAACAAACTATGAAAGAGTTCAGTTGCTTGTGCCCAATACAGAGTTCAGGGGGGGAGAGAGAGAGAGAGAGAGAGAGAGAGAGAGAGAGAGAGAGACAGAGAGAGAGACAGGGAGAGAGAGAGAGAGAGAGAGAGAGAGAGAGAGA